ACTGCAGCATATAGCATAGCATGGAGAGTTATGTATGCTTGGTCTCCTTCTCTTAGTACTTTTAGCTGATTAGGTATAAAAGTACTAAAGAAAAGAGACTAGTTACGAGCTCTAGGGATGTTGATTAGTCCATCTTTATAGAGCATCGTAGTAAATATACCCCCTTTTTCTAGGGGCATTCCTCTTTACCATCTACTCCTTCGAGCAGGTAGAGGGGTTGTCTATATTTCTTGAGCTATGGGAGGCTCGATTTCTGGTAGTGGTGTTACTTCTATACATACTATAATTGTATCCTCGGTATGTACTTCCTTGAAGGAAGGGCTCTGAGCGATTTAGGTGCTCATTTCTAAAACTTCAGTATTGTTAGCCTACTCATCAGCAGGCTAAAAAACTCCTATAGGGCCTTCCTCATTACTAACACCCCTAGCTACGAGCAGCTTAGGTGTGCTTTCTAGGCTTGGTAAAAACTGTGCTGTGCTTTCTAGGCTTGGCGCTGTGCCTTCTGAGCTTGGCGAAAACTATGTAGGCAAGTAATCCCCCATTACCCCCGAGCTTGCGAGCTATCTACTTACAAGCTCAGAAGGCTAATTACTTAGTCTCTACTACTTGGGGATTCCGAGCGTCTATCCAAGCGGCAAATCTACTACTATTTCCTTGGTTTCCATAATGTGAAGCATAACTTCCTCTGTCTCTGATATACTTAGTAAGTCGTCTTCCCTACTTGAGTTGTAAAAGAGCGTCTTGTTAAAAGCCACGTTCTGGGTTTAAATTACTTAATCAAGCTTAGGAACCTAAATAAAGTAGATGTTTGAGGCTAAATAGCCTATAAGGTAACCTATATATACTCGAGGTTTAACCTTAAAAGCCTTCCTTTATTAATTTACCTCTTGATCTTTATCTAAAGGGTATGCTCGACAGCTATAGGCGTATATTCCTACCTAATCTGGGCGAAGGTCGGCCATAAGCTCGTATATATGTAATGGAGTATACTAGTAAAAATACTAAGCAAACCAGGACTCGAGAACTTAAATAGGTAACTACTACGTGCTATTTTATTGAGGAGATTGATTATATAGAAAGGTAGTAGCCATGCTTGTCTATGGCTATATATGCTCTGGTAGGTTTACTAAGATGTGCATTTTTATCGACTTTGTAATTACTTCTTAACCAGCATGCTTAGAACCTCTGTTTAGTTCATGGGTAAAGGTTGGTATAAGCTTGATTTCGATTCCTTCCTTGGTATACCAGACTTAATATTCAGTGCTACCACGCTTGGAAATAACCAAAGTATCGTTATCTTATCAAATTTTACAGACGGTAAGCCCGTACCTCCTTAATACTATATATATAAAGTTTCTAAGTATAGGAAACACGTCTTTTATAGCTTTTGTTTTAAGAGGGGTTCTGAATAGAATACTAGAAAATTTATCCTTTATTACCAGAAACCAATTTGAGCCATCTAGGCCGCGCGGGAAATCAAATAGATCCCAGCTAACATGCTAGAAGGGGTGCTTTACACGGTCTTCCAGTACTCGTCTTGACACAACTTACTTCACGTATGCTAAAGAGTAGTACTCACACTAAAGACAAGCTATTCCGTTTATCTTCACTCCTCACACAGCCCACACTAGCACCCTTAGAGCTTCTAGACCCAGATAACCTATTCTTAGGTACTAGAGCTGCTCTAAGTCTTCTCGTGCTGGTTTCTACTATGCGGAAATTCGTCTTGGCTTAGAAATTACTAGAAAGGTTATAATCCTAGCCTTACTAGTTAGAAAGCTTAGTCTATTTAGATAAGTAGATAGTGGCTTGTATTTAATAAAAACTAGGTTATAGTGGTGCTTGAGTTGCCTAAGTACCACGCTCCTTTTCATTATTCCACTCTAAAGCATATAGTTATACCTAGAATACCATACCTTCAAGCCTAGTAACCAAGCTTCTAAGATAATATTCATGTAGAAACCTTCTACTATAACTATATCTAAGAGAGTAAAGTCTACAGTATTAGGTCCCTCTGCTAAGCTTAGAACCTTCTTAAACACCCAAGTCCCTCAACCAGTAATTAGGAAGCTCATCGTTCTAGCTTCTATAATATCCCCCAGCTAAGTAGCTTAAAAGCTCCCCGGTACAAGGAGATCTACAGTGTTAACCAGATGAGAAGCTCCGCAGTTATTGATTAGGGTACTCTCTAAGAGCTGATGTAGGGTAGTGTATACCGTAGAATAGACTATAGGGTGCTTGGAAATAGCTTTCTCCTAAAAGAATATGTTAACGTTTCTAAGATATAGGCTATCCTTACTCTTTTTTACTATCTTTTTACTAGCTTTAGCTTATCCACCCCATGTTAGCAAGCTTGGTACTCAGCTCAGACCACTTTTCCTTCTTAAGCCGCTTCCAAATAGCTAGGGCTATAGTAGGGGTTAGAGCGTCATATCCAAGCTCCTCAGCCCTTGGAGATAATCCTTTTGTGGCTTGTTCAAGCTAAATACACTACTTGGGTGGCCAACTATAAATAGAGTTTTCATTCCTTCTACAGGGGCACTTAAAACCCTGCTTTTGCTGAGAGGTAGAGTTAGGTGCTCGGGCACTAGTCTTAGGGGCTCAAGCATTAGACTCGAGGGCTCCTTCTAATGTAGCAAACATGCCTAGGCCCTTCAAGCATCTGATTAGTTTATTAGAAACGCCATTAAACCATTTACCTATCTCTTCGAGCATAAGAGGGGTTCTACCAAGCTCGTTGTCTTAAACAAGGTCTTAAATCATGCGGCTTGCCTATCCTAGAGCCAATCAGGCTCCTATAGCATGAATAAACTCCTTGGTAGCAAGTATACCATCAACCTCAACGAGCTGGTAGGCCCTAGTGCGTTCGTATGCTCGGAGCTACTAGGCGTACTACTTGATAGGGTTGATTTCCCCCGCTCTTGCACTAGAGAGGTATGCTTGGTATTCTTTGGCTACTGTTATCTTTAAGCTTATTTCTGAGGGCTTGAGGCTGTCTTTAAGGGCTTGGAGGAGGTTTTTCAGCATAGCTCCTCTGTTATTTATTACTCAAATCTATACTAAAGTAAGCAGGGAATTATCAACAGTTTGGTTTACCTAGTTAAGGATAGTAAGCTCCCTATTGGAAATGATAGACGAGACTAAGGAGATTTCAGCCCAGGCCTTGTGGTGCTTAGCGAGCTCCTTCTGGGCGTCTTCAACGTTAGGTTCTTCTGGCTCGAGCGGCTGTGGGCCACGCTCTATGATAGGAAGCTTGGATTTCTCCCACTCGATCATTTCGTACACATAGGCTGTTTGAAAGTCGACTTGCTTCTTGTTGAGCAAGCTATCGAGATTTATGTGCTTGGAAAGGGATGAGGTTGAAGTCGAGCTGGTGGATTCTACCTTAGGGTTAATAAGCTCCCAAATTCCCTTAGCTTTTGAGTTAAACTATAGCTAAAGGTACTACGTTGGGAAGCTCTTTTGATCCTTTAGGAGTATATTTCTAGTGGGGATATAATCAGAGCTATTAAATGAAGATATAGTAATAGAGTAAAGATAATGAGAAAACAAGCTGCTAAATGATGAGAAGACTGTGCTTGAAAACGCGTGTCTAGGGGAAAATCAAGTTAGAGCCGGGCTCATAACTATCACGGTTTCGAGCAGGGCTATCAAATAGAGTAAGTAAACTGGTATTCTAATCTATAGATAATGGGGGGCTCTGAGCATGGTTATATGCTCGGGGACTAATGGTGCTAAGCTAAAAAGAGCGTAGTAACGATATAGAGCCCCTGATTCATAACAATACTCCTATAGGAGGTTATCTCGATTCCCACATGTTATTTCCCTATAGGAGGTTGTTCTAAAGGGGATTGCTCTATAGGCTTTTGTACAAGAGGGATACCCTTCTATAAGATACCCTCCTGTTCAACGCCGACCTATGAGACACCCTCTAATAGGATAACCTCGTATAGGTCAACCTCCTGTGTGAAACTCTCCTATGGTATACCCTCTTACTATAAGGTACTGTATTTTATCTAACACTGGGTCTTTGAGCGTTGTCCACTATATTAAGGGACCGCCTACTGCTTGATAATAAGAGTATGTATATGGATAAAAAACGAGACTAAACTGTAAGAGGCTATTCCGTAGGAGGTTGAGCACGGGGATTTACTAGATTGTGTATAGATGCTGTGGCCGAGTAGCGAATAGACACTCGAGCAAAGCTCATATGCGTATAGGAAAAGACGGATGACTTCCCCTATTAAAAAAAAAAAAATAAAAAAAAAAAGTCGTAGCTAATACCACAACACGCAACAAATCAAAGCCGGATTCTCGGCCCGCAGAACGACTGCTACAGGGCCGCAATGGACAAGGTAAGCATTTCTTCACCTTCACATAGCTCGAGGGCATTACGGACAACATTGACCAGGTGAGGACCATAAACACGCTGCTCGCTGCGGCCTGGGAAGCTTGAAAGGGTCTCAAAGTCTCCCATCCGATCAACGTTAACGTCGTTGGTATCCAAATGGTGGGAACTCTCCAAACCGCGGCAGCCCTTGAATAATCAGAAAAGACAGCCGCAGAAAAAGGGAGAAAACCTTTCAATTTGCCAGGTGCGTAGCTTGATGAGGACCAAAATATCTCATGGTAAACCGGTCAACCACGTAGTTACTAAATCAGGCACTGCTATTAATCGTCATTTGCACTGCATAGGGCGCGTGTTAGTACAACGCCTAGTGGCATCTGTGAAGCCGGCCCGGGCCCCGGCCCGGACCCCAAGCCAGTCCACCAATGAGCTTCGGCGTCACCCTGCTGCCAACTCACAGGCATGATTTTAATCTACTCCACGATGAAAATGTAACAAGTGCACCAACCCGAATCAGGATCACTTTAAAAAAGAACACGGGCAGGCCACGAGGATGTAAGGGCGGGGTCCGGAATTCGGACGGGTGGTCTATGCGCCTGGCACAGCCACAATAGCCGAGCTCTACTACAACACCACCAAAAGCAAAAGGTAGTGTCCTCGGTGAGACTCGAACTCACGACCTTTGGATTGGAAGTTTCACCAGTAATCTGGAGAATCATACAGTGTATGAGACCAACGCTCTAACCAGCTGAGCCACGAAGACTTGTTGTCGATGGATTTCGAAGATCCCAAGTTGAATGAACGATGCAGAAGGTTGAGAAGCAACTACGCGAAGACATGTTCGAGACTGGAACTTCAGAGATTCTATGGCATTGGATGGTCGGGGATATGTCTCTCATTGGGTTGAATGTTTGAAAAGCTGGCTCAGATGTTGGGAGAACGGCTATCTCCAGGAGGGGTGGCTGAACAACTGTTTGCGGTAGTCCTGGCTGTCTGCCGATGGGGAAGAGGTATGGATCATGTCGTTAACATTCACGAGTGCTTACAAGCAAACGACAGAGTCAAGAGACGAGGGAAATATAGACATCAATACAAATCAGTACATATAGACATCAAGACATACTATAGACAACACCCCTAAATAGTAGTACAGTCTAGATAATCAGACACTATAGATGCCGCTGAAAACCACATTCTCGGCTTATGCTCCATCAGTACTGTTACAAGTATCAACCTCCGCGCAAGAGACACCAGAACCGGTCTGGCATGATCTCACACAAGGACAGACCGAGCTGTCCTCAGCCCATCTGAGACTGAGCCCTGTCGGTTCAGACTTGCTTCGCACCCACTGGAGGGTCACTGGGCTCGTCAGGTGAGGTACGGTACATTGACTGTGTCGACCTCGGAGGACGGGGCGGCCGAGGCTGAGACGGCAGTCCAAAGGTACCCTGCGGCGCTCGTCTCGAGATACTCGGCGTGGACCTGAACGCCTCCACGACAGACTGCCGCCGACTGACCCTATCCACCGGCCGCGGCGGCAGTTTGCCCTCGCTCACCATATCTTGCGCCATCCCCACCAGCGACGCAGCGTCAGGGGCTGATGGGTAGAACACGGCGAAGATGGGCTCCGTCCCCGTCTGCATGAACGATGAGGTGTACGAAGGCTTGAGGATCTGGTGGTGCAGGCCGGTCTTCTCTAACTTGTCTCGGATCTCGCCGCGGGACAGCATCACTGCCTTCTCCGTGTCGCCGGCCTTGTTGGCTGAGTAGTCGCCTGGCCCGGATGATCCATTGGGAACGTGGAAGAGAAGATCAATCCGGGCGAATGCGTATAGCGCGACGACGATTATTTCAAATGAGAACTGAGTGACGTAGAACACTGCCTTGCTGTACAACACGTCGCCACTGTCTTTAGGCCGAGGGTTGAAGGTGCCGTATGTCCGCACGGTGGCGCCTGTGGCCAACAGAGCAGCGCCGAGCATGGCTAGCGATGTCTTGACCCTCAAACTTCCGCTTCCGAATTTTTCTGGCTTTGGTCCTGGGATGGCACATGCTAAGAAGATAGTCAGGAAGGGGAAGGTGACAAGCCAGATGTTCCATGATGAGCCAGTTTTCAAGAGGGCCATAGCAGTATCGGCGCGATCCGGATTGTCCGTGGAAAGGAAGAACACACTGATCGATACGATCTGGAGGATGATGACTGGTGGGACGGAAATTGCAAGGATTACTGTGCCCAAGCTGAAGGGTTTGGACCAGCCGACGACGGGATGCATTGAGCGGACAATGCGTTGGGCGAAAAATATGTTGACTACAAATATAACGGCGGCTCTGTTTAAGTGGAAAGTTAGCAAATCATATCTCAAGAGGTGATCGGCAGTAACCAGCCGGGCTTACCCTCCGTTGAAGAAGATCTGAGCCGCAAGGATTATTCCCCGGAGCTGAGTGAAGACCCATGTGATCCGGAATATGCATGTGACTGATCGAATCATACAGAAGTCGAACATGAGATCGGACAGCAAGAACTTGTGCCCGCGTTTTGCGTTTGCTCTGTAGATGGAAATGTGTGTAAATGCCCCCAGGAGAAAGAGAAGTAAGAATACAATCGTGACGGGCAAGTCCACACTCTTGCTCGGCGGGTTGCCACCCAACAGATCGCCGGTTGCTGGATCGATCTCCATTCTCATTCCTGGGCCCTGGACCGCCGCGACAGTTGGCGCTCGGTTCGGGGCCTGATTGGCACTGGGCGCTTCCATCTGGGCCGCTGCGGACGGTGTGCCGGCCTGGGCTGAGCTGTTGTTACCCGGCCCTGGTGCTGACGCGCCTTGGCCTCTCTCCGGGGTCATCTCTCCCCCGGATGCTGGATTCTCGGCCGCTGCAGGCGGACCAGCCGCTTGCATCGTTGAATTTCCATCGTTGGACTCGGGTGGGCTCTGCTGAGAAGGGGGGGCGGGGGGAGGGGCGGGAGCCTGTGTTGGTATCGCTGGTGGTGGTGAAGATGACGAGGTATTTGGGATTGCAACAGGTGTCGCTTCAACACGCACTGAAGTTGTGGTGAGAGTTTGTGCTGCTGTTGTTGTGACTGTGACTGTCTTGTTGTTGTCGTCGTCGTCGTCGTCGTCGTCACCACGCACACCTTTCTCCGCCACCAGGACGCATACTGTGGCTATTATGCGATATAGAGTTACCAGCCTCATGGTAAAGACCCAGGTCCGAACGTCGATCAATATTACATGGGCCGAGAGATGCTGCAGAGAAAACCCGAGCCGCAAGACGGTAGATATGAAGCCTCTGGAATTAACTCTTGCAACTTCGGAGCGGCTGTAAGACCCGGCATAGATTATAGATCATAACATTCGATCAAGCAAGATCAGAGGGCTATATGTCCAGGTTCCCGGATCCGTAGGGGATCCTGAGGTCATCCCAAGTCCTTCCGGGACAGGTATGTTTGTGTTTTGCGCATGATTTCCTACATGCGGTATGTTACCTATGTAAGACACCGTAGGCAAGACAGCCTGCACGAATTTGCCAGTGGTGGACGGGCATACGCAAGGCTGAGACAGTCCTTCCGGAACCCAACTGCCAAGAAAGGCAGTCTTTGACTTGTTCTCACCATCCAAGATTGACGACGGCTGTCAACTGGTCCATCCACATCATAGATTAGACGGGCCTACGGCTCAGTCGGGAAGGCACCTGGACGAGACAAGGAATTTTCCAGCATACTCCAGTTGTCATGGGCTGTGAAGATCAGACGGAACATGGAGTGACTGCATTCCTGTTTCAATTCACGGTGAGGGTGGTGGAGGAGTCCGAAGTGACAACCTGGTAATTTACTGCCCTCAAGTGTGAGCCTTGCCTGGTGGGCGGAGAGCCGTTGGAGCCTTGCGCTATTAAAGAGGGGGCCTTCCAGCTAGCACCAATCTCGTCCGTCCAAGTTACTCAACGTTTGTGCGAATCGTGTATGTGACGTTATCGTCGCAACAATCCTGCGGGATTGCGAAGAATCCGCAAGTCCGTCCATGCCACCTGACCGAGCATGGACACGCGAGACCGCAGCGAAGCGGCCCACGACAGACCGGCCGGTCTTCCTTGATAATACATATAGTCACTATACCCCAGAGCAGAAGCTACATTGACGGAGCGATGCATCACTGTCCACTTTTGTCTCCCCTACTATCCCGTCGCCGAAGTTTTACCTTGACTTGCCCGCGCCTATGCACTGGTGGAGTTGGGTGGCGGGCCCTTCAATGGCCGTCGGATTTGAATGGCCGTCGGATTTGGCTGCCCTAGGCCGAGTCCGACCGTGGTGCATATGCGCACAAAATCAAGTTGGGCTACATCAGACAACTATCACATAGCTCCTGTGTCAGATTCAAGGTATCGTACTGCCTAGACTATGTATGGTGCAAACCTTATCGACTTGGCCAGCTCTGTCTGGCTGTCGAGATTCGACCCAGAGATTTTGAGGATGGTCTACCACTGCAGCGCCTGCGCTTACGCTTACCATTATCGCTGCCGCAGGCCGTATGCAAGCTGTAGAGAATTAGGCTGCTCCCGCTACATAGTAAAACCCAACGACTTCGCATGAGAATTGCGCGAAACAGCTTAGCCCCAAAACGAGTACTGCAGACCCGGGGCAACGATTAGCGCAAGGTTGTTCTCCGCCCGGCCGGCTCTCACTCAAAACGGCCCCAGCCTTCAAAGTGGGCGCAGTCTCGCAAGATTCCCCCCCTTTTCGGTCATCTCACGCGAGGAAGCCTGTCCACGCACACGCAAGACTCTTAGCGCACACGGCCATTCGGTAGAGTTGGCAATCATTCCAACGGCACCCACTCCCTTTTCTGTCTCTTACATGCGGCCTGCAACTGCTTTGACGCTGGGCATAAAAAGCTCGCGCCTAACATCACGTCAAGCCGTGACGACAGGCTGTCAAGATATGATCTCTGATCTTGCCAATGCAATGCACATCAACGTCATCCTTTCTTGCTTTCCAGAAGCTCGCAAGGCGGCTTTGGCTACGGCAGAGGCGCGCGGGATCGGCCGATATCAAGATCAGTCCGATTCTGGTCCCGAGGTCCCCTTCGAAGCCAGCGGGGAACGGACGATGGCTAACCTCTTGAAGCCCGACCTTGCGGGTCCATGAAGCCAGATGGTCATTGTCGTCATCAGAGCTGCAGACATTGGCAAGTAGTGCCTTGGAAGGACCTCCGACTCGGACTGCTTAATGAAGTCCGGAAGAGGCTCGGAAGAGGCTCGGAAGATGCCTCGTTGCGCCTCGTATTTCACGGTTCAACGTGCTACAATTTTGTTATACACTAGTAGAGGTAGCCCTATTCTGCTGCCTCCAGATGGAACCTAGGCCTGCAACGGCCATGACTGAGCATAATGCACCAAGCGCGGGTAGGGGAACACGACAGTATCGGCGGAACTTTTCTTCACAGGGGCTCAGGGACCTCGTCCGTGTTGGGCCGCCGCTTAGACATGCCAGCCGACTTATTGACAGGTCTCCAAATCAATGCTGGGTCTTTAGTCGCAACTGCCAGACTCTGTCGTGTTTCTAGGGCGGATTCCCAACGGCTAGAAACGACGCAGGACGAATCACAGGCAAAAGTGTGCGGGCAGAAGAGAGCACATGCGGCGGATGGATCTCTGAGACTGTTTCAACCGATGTTGGGGTTACAACTTTCCCACCACCCGAACCACCGGCACCCTGGAACCCAAAGCGCATCGGCTAGAGCGAGAGCAGGGCGGAACTAGGGAGCTCTC